CCCCTAAGAGAAGTATGTGGGAGTTCTGACAGGTGTCTCTTCGTTTCTCCTTTCATCCGTTTTTAAGGCTGGCCGGCTTGCGCCGCAAAACCTGGCCACACTGCTGAAATGCTCGCTGGAAAGCCAAACGACACACCCCGTAGAAGCGTGGAAGCTCTTCTTTCAGAAAGTTTCCTCTTCCCTGAATGACACCCTGGAGACGTTTGCCACCATGGTAAATCCATTAGCTGTTTTCCAAATTTGCTCACCTTCCTTCCAAAGCGACGTCAGCATCTACCCAATTCTTCTCAACTACAGACCTCCAACAACAGCAGGCCAGCCTTATCAAACGCCCTTGATGCTCTGAGAGAGGTGCGACTTGCCAACCTCAGCGACGCAGAACTACAGAGTAGGACCGTCATTGGGGATCTGGTCCAGAGAGTTATTGGGCCGTTCCTGGCCTCCCCATCCACAAACTTCCTGTTCTGCCTCAGCTCCTACAACTTCAGCTGCCTGACCTACCAGATTGTGTAAGTACAAATCTTGCTTCACACAGGAAAATATTACAAAAAGAAAGCTGCATGTGTTTTGGTGTTGATTACCTTTCCCCAAATTGCAGCGTCAAGGAATTGAGCAACCAAAGGCAACTCATGAACAGTGACAAGCAGCAAGCAGTCTTTACTTATTTCATCAAACCGTTCCTGTCACGAAAGGAGTCATCGGGTAAAGCCAGGCTCTCGGGATCCGCTTGCTAACTTCTTGATGGGAAAGGATGTGTTGATTTACAGCCAGTGTCTCTTTCTAACTTCTCTCCAGATCCTGGCTGCACCTTATCCACCAATGGGAGTCAGGGTTGGCTACAGGCAAACCTCGGCAGCTTTGCTGGTTTTGCAACCGTCCAGGATTTGCAAACCCTCAACCCGCACTTGTCTACCGTAAGTGCCAACGGCGGCTGCTCATGGGTGCTCACAAACCAACATCTTTTGACCCGTTGCTTTGCAAGAAGGACTGTTTTGACTCCATATGGTTTTCTTTTTTCCTAGATTGAAATATTGTCAGAACTGGCTCCCTCTCAAGTGGCACAGCTCCTAATAAGTGCAGGGAGCTCAAACGACACAACCCTGATTGACCTTGCCTTTGAGCGACTTGAAAAGGGTGACGCTCTGGAAAACCTAGACGAATTCCTCACACAGCTCACAGCGAACGGACAGGTAGGTCCCAGTCCCAGCCACAGACTTCAGATGTACCAATCTTAGTCCTCGTTTGGGTATCAAAGGGTCTGCATCACTTTGGACGGAAGTAATTTACACAACTCTGTTAACTCCAATCTTTAAAAGTGCTCTGTGTAGTGCATTTCTCACACAGTTTACCGTACTTGTCATACTTTGCAAGGTCCTACAGTTCCAGACGGTCGTCCGAGATCGTGCGATGACAAGAGCCTTTTACATCCTAAGGCTACATTTCCTGACCTTCAGCTCACAAGAGTTGTACCTTTGGTTCCACGTCAAACTGGTTACCATCCTTGCCAGTTTCACTCCACAGATGCTCAACAGTACGCTATCAAGCATGAGCTGCGCAAACTACCACGTCGTGTGAGTTGCATTCTAAAGAAGTGTCTTCAGAGACCTTTAGTTACAATCTACTGGTGAGGTGCCATGTCAGAAACGTTTTCTGCAATCTTTTCAGTGTGGGAGGGATTGCCAAAGTGTTCCCTGCCA